ATCTATCTATATATATATATACACACATAATATGTTTACAATATATATATATACATACACATTATGTATACATTGTATTGTATTATATTATATTATATTATGTTACATTATGTTATATTATATTATGTTATGTTATATTATATTATATTCGTCTGATGAACCCTTCTTTCAAGCGCTCCGCTGAAAGCTCGTCGCAGTTCGGCCGCAGGCGACGCCGATGCCCTGGCCGGAGAGCACCAAACACATTGAGACCTTGAAGGCGTTCGGGCTCAAACTCCCCAGAGAGCCCAATACCCCTTAATTCAGGAATATACTTTAAATCCTAATATTAAGGGGCCTTGTAATTTAAGGTATATTCCTTAATTAAGGGGTATTGGGCTCTCTGGGTCCGTGGGAAGGGCGGAGTGGTGGTTGAAGGCGATTTATGCTCCGGGCTGAGAGCTGTTTTTGGGAGAGAGGCTTAGACTTATTGCTCGAGTCGGAAGCTACTCAGCGTCGGGGATGATGTTTTAGCTTGAGGGTAGGACTAGTTTGGATGGGGTTGTGAACGTTCTACAAGCCCACAGCAATGAACTAAAGCAGTTGTCGTTGCCTTTCAATCTATTCGAGAAGTTGCTATGTGGCACTGACTTTGGGCGCAAGTGCTTACCAGACATGGAACCCTACTCCTATCGCTTTGTATGCTGGGTACCTTGTGCATATTCGGGATCAGGCCCTGGCAACGGTGGCTTGGGGCCGGTATGTCATTTCCTCGTAGGATCCCTCGATAGTCTGCGGCAAATCCGGGAGTGTTTGGACTCCCTAGTTTGGAGATGCCGAGGCCAATGGCATCGCTCAGTTTCTTGCTGTTGGTGCCTCAGGAGTACTTTGTGGGACAGATGTTGGAGGTCTGCTTCTTCGGATGTATGTGGGTATATTACATACAATGTATGTATGTATGTATGTATGTACGTATGTATATATATATACACACATGAAAGTCATACATATCTACATATAAAGCACATATGTACACGCATAGACATATGTACGTAGAACCTTTATGTTCTATTTGACAACCGCCCTCTTCCTACTCAAGATCTACGCTCGGTACGTGGGTTTGGGGTTTCTGCGAGAGCGCCTGGAAGATCTATGCTCGCGGGTTTGGGAGTGCATGGGAGGCCCTTGAAGATCTACGCTCGGTACGTGGGTTTGGGTCAAGATCTACGCTCGGTACGTGGGTTTGGGGTTCCGGATTTCCATGGATTTCCCAAGTCGAGTCGCGATGCGCTGGGATCAAAGATGCTTCTCAGTCGGGCTCAACCAGAAGCTCGTTTTTCGTGCCAGATTGCACGAGGGTGCGAGCGACTCAGCACCGCCCATGTCCAAGGTCGTCTTTTAGGCTTTCTGCAAAAGTGAGAGAGTGCAGAGGGAGGCAGGCCTTGACACCTTTGCCGTCGCCCGTGTTGTTGGACGCAAAGATTGAATGCGCCATCTTTTTGCGGACATTCAGTTTACTGCTTACTCGCTGGAGTGTCCGTCGTGCAGCACTTGGATATGTGCACGGCACACAGGTGACATGTCATGGCAACGGTGTCCTCGATGTGCGCTGCAGCTATCGGATTATGTTGGAGGCAGCAGCGACAACACCCCGCACGTCAACGCAATGAACTTCTTAAGCAACGACAATCTCGATGACACGAACGAGAAGTTTGCCAGAGTCATTCGCGGCATCTATACCAAGCACAGGAACGTCTTTGAAGTTTTGCCGGAGGCCGTCAAGCTACTTCCCGATCCATCGTCTCGTTCGCAGATGCCCATGGCCAAGAGAGTTTGGGAAAAAACGCTTTGTCGAGCGAGAAGACTTCTCTGCTTCCTAAATGATGCAATTCCTTCGAACGATAGTTTGTTTCTTTCTCTGAAGCAAAGCAATGGCAGAACATCGCTTTCCTCTACGCCCTCGAGCTCCATCTCGCTTTGACCGTGGAGCACCAGCAGCGAAGTCATGCCACCGGAACGAGTCGGCGGAATGATTCGTGGGAGGATGAACTTGGAGGCGCCTCCTGCCCAACAACGACACCGAGCTCGACCAGTGACCTTACTCACACGCAATGGCTTCGACTCAGTGTTCATCGCGCAGAAGCTTTTTCCAAGAGGCAGGAACGACGTCGCAAGGAGTCCGGACTTGCGACGAAGACGTTGACCTGGTCTGGCAGAGGAGCTTCAGCCCTTTCTGTTGCCCGACGTATGGCTCTGGCACTTCCCTGATCCGGCCGCCTGTTTCTTCCGGGACAGCGGGCACTTCCGATGTTGCTCCACGTGCCGAGCAATTTTCTTGATTGTCGTTGTCCGGATGTCTTTTGCGAACTCCTGGCTCGACTACATGATCACGACAGAGACAAGCGCATCGCTTTTGTTTCGTCTTCCCACACGTGCTATGTCGATGGAAAGAAGATTCCGGTGTCGGTGACTGGCCTTGTGCACCTCTTCGTAAAAAGCTTTGATCCTGACCAGGCCATCGAGAGCATGAAACGAAGTCGTCGCTGGCCCCACCAGGAGTATTCCAACGCAGTGAACGGAGAGTTCGTCGAACCCAGAGGGTCGGGGATACCTACATTGCACGTAGCGGGTTGTGTCACGCACGTGGCGTTCCGGGGAGCCTGCACAGGGGGCCAAACCCTTATCAAATTTATGGCGACGTGGCAATCATATGGATGCCTGCCTTGCACGTGGCTCATAATTGTATGACCCTCCTTGGGAGGTGGCCATCATGACAATGGGTGGCAGGCATGTGTACAAGAAAAATATGCATGTGCACCGAAAAATCAGGCAGGCAAGCATATCGTGGCAGCATGAGGTTTCACACCCACAGCGGCGACTCGCTGTGCATATTGTATATAGCAATCAGATGCAATCAAGCTATTGCATGAACCGACAGTAGCTATAGCTTCACTCTCCAGCGGCGACTCGCTAGAGCAAGGCTATGCACATGCATGAACCGGCAGCAGAGGTGAGTGTATACTTTAGATTCACATGTGCATGCACATGGGTGCATTCGCATCATGGCTCAAGCGGCTCAAACCTGTGCAGAGAAAGACCTTAAAACCCTAACACCCTATGTCCTTGAGTTCAGGGAGTTCAGGGACCTGCTACCACTACATTAGCCAGTATACTATATCACCACCACCACCACCACAACGACTATGCGACGACTGCTACTACTACTACTACTACTACTACTATACTGCTACTACACTACTATACTACTACTACTACTACTACTACTACTACTCCTGCTGCTGCTGCTACTACTACTACTACTACTACTACTACTACTATACTGCTACTACTACTGCTCCTGCTGCAGGCTGGCATGGCGCTTTTGAACTTCGGGCATTCCTCGCCTGTCTGCATCTGGTCGATATAGCAAGGTAGGCAAAGCATGCAAAGCAACTGGTCGATAGAGCAAAGTCGGCAAAGCTCGCTTAGAAAACAACCTTCAATAATTCAATTATAAGCCCCTACACTTGACACCCTATATAAGGCCTAAACTCGAAACCCACCCTACGTCCTAAACCAAAAAAAACCTAACCATTTCCTGTAAACCCTGGACCCTTAGAAACTCGAGGCATCTGCCCGGTCTGGCAAAGGAGTACAAACCCTGCATAACCCTCAATATGTTTCCCAGATCCTCAAAACCCCTATGCCCCTATATAAACTTCACACCGTAGACATTTAGAACTTTGCTGCGCGGTCGGACGGCCATGTCATGCCTCGCTCCAGCACCAGACGCCGGGGCAAAGGCAAGATGCTGCAACTTTCGATTTTCTTCTGCTCAGAAGTGTGGTTTAGCTGCATATGAGCTTGACAGGAGATGGCAAGCAGCATGCACGCAAACGCCTGCTGTGACTCAAGGGTGGATCATGGCAGCAGGAGCATGCAGCAGTCCACAGGATGTTTGAGAGGCTGCGGGTAGACTTTGTTTTTAAGATCGGAGGCCTGATTTTTTCCTGAGTTTGAAGCTTTAGCACTCGACCCGTCTCTTGGCCATGTCGCTGGGCCGTGAAAAAGAGATCGTCGGCCGGGGACCGGCCGATTCACAGTACACGTTTTTGTTTTGCTGCTCGGTTGTGCCAGTTCGTGTGGGCATTGCAGGCGTCTTGAAGAGATTTCTGCGACCGGCAGATTTTGTTCGTTGCTCCCGTTCCATGCCACCAGAAAATATTCTCTTTTACATGTCGACGCCTCCAGAGTCTGAAGATCTCGAGACTTATCTTCCTTTGGTCGTGGCTTTTGCGGGATTGGATCCACTCTGAGGCTTGTTTGCGTATATATAGGCAGCTCTGTCGTACAACTGTTTGTCGATCATCGGCTGCAGGTGATTCCAAATATCCGCCTTTTCGAAAGGCCTTTTATGATATGGATGCAGAGAGCGGCGCCAGACTGAGTAGGGGCAAGAACAAACGACAGCGGACCAAGTGGAGCAATGATGCTTCTTATCTGAATATTAAATGAGCGCATGCATTATCAGGAAAATGATTTTGCCATGTATGCACACGTTAAGGCCGTTAAGGAAGCATCTGCCCTTCTGTCTTTGATGTCCTATGCTCGCCGTTATTGGCGATCGTGCTGCAAGAGAGGCACTCAAACTGAAGTCGCTCTGATCACTGGTGATGTGTTACGCAGTTTTTATCGATCGTGAAACCATGCAGCGAAATTTGTGCAGTCGAGGCTGCTTTGAAGCTCTTGGCATGCATGAAAGAAAACCCTGCCAAAGCTCGGCCGACTTGTCGAAAGATTTCGAGCGATTCTATCAGTTCCTCCCCAGGCCACTGTTGAAGTAACCGTGCCATGTACAAACCCCTGGAGTTTTGACCCGGCGCAGCTATCGAAGTTCCTGTGTGAAGGCGAGAGGCCGAAGGCCGCTGCTTTGGCAGATCGTGCGAGAGAGTTGTGTGCCACGACTGCATCTTGATAGTCGTGGTGTAGCGGATTGCATTCTCCGTTGCCTGCATCTACAGGCATCCTGGATACGCCGCTCTTTGAGACGACGGTCATCAGCGACGACGAGGACTCTGGGAAGGCCGCAGCTCGCGAGCCCGCTGAGACTGCAGATCCGGAGCCTGCGGTGGTACCCGCGGAAGTTGTGGATCTTGATGGGGAGTCCGCAGCCGCTGAGACTGCAGCTCCGGAGCTTGCAGTGCCCACGGAAGTCGTGGATCTTGGAGACAAGCCGGCGAGATCGAAGCTTCTGCTGCAGACCAGCCGGGCCTTGTCGAGATCGAAGTTTCTGCAGACCAGCCGGACAGCCTTGAGAGCTTCGTCGAGATCGCAGCTGGTGCAGACCTGCCGTGCGTCTTGTGAGCATCAACGAGATCGAAGCTTGTGCAAGCCAGCCGGGTCTTGCTCAGAGCCTCCAGGAGATGTTCGCTTGCACATATGCAGACGAGCCGGGCCTTTCTGCGGGCGAGTTCATCGCGATCGATGACGAGATGGAGGTGCCCCCTGCTGCTCCGAAGCGAACAGCGAAGGACATAGAAGCGGCCCGGATTGCAATTTATCGTGTTCGTTCTACATGTGTGCTTGCCAGTGATGTTTCCAGAATCATTGCATGAATGCGAAGGATGGATTGTACAAGTACCCCGAGCCGTTGCCCGTGCCCAGCATGGACGCCATCTTGGAGAAGGCTGCTGTGGCCAATGCTCCTGTCTACAGTGATCAGGGGCAGGATGGCGGTGCGACGAAGAAGCGCCGCTCCCGAAGAAGCCTGTGGATGCGAAGCCCATGGGCAAGGTCGCGAAGGGCGATCCGAAGGCCGCTGATGCGGCTGCAGCGGCCGTGCCAGGCATGGCCGGGCTGCCAGAGGATCTGTCAGGCGTCACGAGAGAGGAGCTCCTCCAGCAGCATCATGCCTTCCAGCCGCCAGATCACGTGACTACCAACCACGTGTATAGCAACATGTACCACCTGTTTTGCAAGAAGGGCATCACTGGGCATCAGCTACGAGCCAAAGCACGGCAGTCTACGGGTGTCTTCAAGCACACCGGCTTTGCCTTCCAGCTTTGGTTAGCAGCCTCCGTGCCAAGCTTCCAGCAAAAAAACAGCCGCTGACGAGGAGGATGCCCCGGCGAAGTGAAGGAACACGCATGCCCTCGCGGTCCGTGCTGGCAGGATCTTCAGGCTCGGCAAGCTGAAGATTGCTGGGGCTCTGCGTGCAGAGCACTCCAAGGATAGGTGGCCCCGACTGTGCCTGCCCGGAAAGAGTAGCCTATATCTTTCGGCCCCCGGCAGTTGTCACACGAACCTAATCTATACTAAAACAAAGAAATAGGTATAGACTGTAGACCCGGAACAGGCATGGAAAGGGCTCTCAATTGCCGCTTTTCCAATCGCAGTCTTGTGCAGTTGGCGGCTGCAAGTTCCGTTGCCGTGAAAGTGGGGTCGAGTTGCTCGCTGCATGGCCTGCACTTGTGTGCATGCAGCGTCACTCATGTCTGCAGTCTCGTGCATGCGTCGCCTGACTGCCCCCATCAGTTCTCAAGCGGACTCATGAGCACACGCAGCGATGTGTCGTTGTTCATGCATGCAGGATACAGACTCAGATACTTGTGTACCCTGGGTCTGGGAATGCGAAGCCCCTGAAACGACCTGCAGCCTTTCCTGCTGCTGTGCCGCAAATATTGCAAAAGTGTGTCTCTGCACACGCGAACACACACACACACAC